ACACACACACACACACACACACACACATACACACACACAAGCACACACACACAGAGTTTTATTTTCCTAGTGTAATATGCCCTTTTAAAGAAGAGTCTAGTTGCATCTCTAGGCTCCTGTGTAAGTGTAGACTCTACTTTCAAAGTCAAAAGGGAAAATTCCTCTTTTTTAGTAGCGGCACTTTGTTCTTCCCAAGAACAAACTCGTCATCACACAATAAACTAAGTGTAATTTAACAATACGTTTCCTAAACTAGTGGCATGATTGCAGCACCACATTATCCGTTCATTTACGTTTGAACAGGACGTTCCGTGGCTACACCTGAATTGAAAACCAACAACATGGCTTAAATTCAACGCGCAGTTGACATAGAAACTCGTACCATGCGCAAAAAACTTGTCGCGCAGGTCATTCTGAGGTCACTATCACGCCAGCCGCACGCGCATCAGTCGAGTTTGTTTCACGCGTTTCAAGACAGCAGTGCGTGTATCGACTATCGGGCAGCATTGTTTGTATCGACTACATGTCAAAATTCCATTCCGCTCTAAAGCGGTTACACGGAAGCAACGCCACGAGCTTTGCATTAACGTCTCGCTCGAAATGAACGAAATCATTCAGTTCAAGACACACATTTTACACATTTTATCATTTTTTCATGACACACAGCAAATGTGGTGATTGCTTCCCGTTAAAACAACGCGATAAGCTGCCTCAAAATTACCGCTATTATTGTAACCCTTATGAACACCATCTTAGCAATACATGTATATTTAAACCAGCAACAATAGACGGAAAGAAAAACACTAATTCAAAAGCAGTAACAAGACACAAAAATACAACCTATAGGAATTTTATTAAAGCAAAGTAAAATAAAGTGAAAGTAGTACAGTAAAGAAATGTTGTTCTCGCATCCGATCCGGACATTGGAGATTGCATTGTTTGTGAGACAACTTCCTGGGCCTTCGGCATATTGTGGTAGGGTGGCCAGATCCTTTCCACGTCGCCTTTACTTCCCCAACTCGAAGTCTGGTACCCATACTGCTGGGTGGGCGGGAAGTGCCGAAAAAAAATCTGTGTCCGAACCATAAATGGTCTGAACCGAGACTCGAACCCGGATTTCCGCTTCGGAGACGAGCGCACTAACCGCCCAGCCACTGCACAGTAAGTACATTATATTGTATTTCTTTAACCTGTAAAAACAGCCAAAGATTTAATTGTACACTTGTAGTATAGGATTTTTGGTACAGCTTGACTACATAAAGTATAAAACAAACAAGTGAGTAAGAAACTTTGACGATGTAAGACATAGCGGTTGGGTGCACGGTGCATGATAACGATGAGACTGTGATATCATGTGTGCATTTACTATTGATTTATTGGTGGAAGAACGCTCCACTCGGAACAGGTTTGAACAGCCACCACGAATACAAAATCGTAATGTCGATACCGGAGGTAAATTTGTCGCAGTGAGGCCTAGCCTACGCTATTTTTACCCGTTCGTTTAGTGTTCAGTTCAGCATGGGAGACAAGAGTCACAGATTTGCCTGATCTTCAGTGATCAGTGATCGGACGAAGCGGCGGTTGAACCTAGCAGACGATTCTCGAAAGACGTTCCTAGTGTTTACATTTATAAACGTGTCAACACGGTGAGTGACAGGTTGTTTTTTTTTGTAGCTCTTTGTGATTTTGATAGACGTGAGAGTGTTGTATCGTGCCTCAAAGATGAAGAACTGCTGTCTTTCTCAATTAATTAATTTACAATGCACCCAGTCCGAACCCCCATGTCTTGGATTCTACTCAACAACACGCTCACAGCCTTGAGTCAAGTTGAAGAGTGAGCGTGTAGATAGATCTAGAGGTTAATTGAATAAAGAAGAAAAAGGAGCTTTTGAAAGACAAAGTTAACTCAAAATCTAGATTTCTAGACAAGAATCTTGATCTATTTCGAGGTAGCGGCCTAGTCTAGCCCCCCCCCCCC